TTCCCTGCCAAACACTTTTAAATCTGGATAAAGTAAATCCCGATAGAAGTACGTAGGCTCCTTATTGATATTCAGAAGTTTTAAATGCATTTTCGCATTCCAAACTTTGACAAACTTTCGATAAAGCAGCAGCGAAAGAAATATTTTAAGAGCCATCCGTGCGCATTACACTCAGAGTGTGTAGATGCAATCCAAAGATAAAAATGCGAACGACGATTTACTTTATAATATTTTTATTTTTGGTCCTGCCGAAGTGCTTTTTATGAATTCGTTATTTTATCCTGAATGTGTTTTACGTTGTTTGTATAACGACTGAAGAATGAGATATCTCCCGCAAGCACAAGACTCACTCAGTTATTCCATTTACTTTTATTTTCGTTCGAAAAAAAATCCATGAAGATTTTTATCATTTTAAATGTCATGCGGCGATCGGATTTTTGTTTTCTTCGACATATTTACTTATTGCCGTATTCGCCTCTTGAGAAATAACAATTTCTTCTTCTTTTGACTTGGATATGAGTAATTCACAAATGTAAAGAAAAAAAATGAAGTAAATAAAAAACTACATTACCATAACGCATAATTCATTTTAACATTAACTTCTACTTTTTCATATAATATACGGGAATCACAACACTCATTTTATTCTCTGCACGAAAGTGGCAGAATTTTGACTATTGACGAGTATATTCGTCATGCGTATAAAACGTGGCCATTTTCTATTTAAAATGAAGTTATAGTAATCACAAAAAAGTCTAAAATAATTTGCTTGCATATCTTTACGTTTCAAAGGAATCTCACAATTTTGGCATTCCTTGAAAAAGGTGATTATATGTGTGTGCGCAAATTGTATGTATGTATGTTCGGATACAATTTTTCGGGAGCACGGATCAACCGATTTGAATGATTCAAAAAACATTCATTTCATATCGACGCCGGGGAGGACGCTGGTTAGCTTTTCTGGCAGGTCCAGCTGTTTTGGAGATTCTTAGCAAAAAGTGCAAAAAATAGCAGTTTTTGTGAGAATCCGACTAGAATGATTAAAACATTCTGTCCATACTGACGGCTAAATATTAAAATTGCATAAGAAAATCCAAAGTTTTCTTATATAGTTAAAATAAATAATTTTAACTCTTTTCAATTAAATTGAACTTTTAATTCAGTTTCAACATGTTTATATAATGAAAATGTAAAATATGAGATAAACTCCTCGGAAGCATTGCAAGTAGAATGCATTATGATATGATCTGTTTATTATGTTTTTGTAGAGAGAGATATAAAGAGATCGTCGCCCAAATATTAGCACTTATATTAGATCTATAAAATACGAATAACAAATTTTGCATATTTGAATATTTATAATATCTATGTATTTTGAAAATACATTGTGCTTAATCATTTGTTTATTCCTCGAATGTATAAGACCCTAACATTAAAAAATTCTAATGACTTATGTTAACGCCTTACTCAACCCTGGTCTAATGGAATGATATTAGGTATTATATTTTATTACCTTCATACAGGATAGCAGTAATAAACCCCCATCCCTTATTATATAATTTTGAAATATTAAATAATCCCTCTAATTGCCATGCATCCTGTCACTAAATCTATCATCATACCATTAATCAATTTTTCTAAGAACCTCTAATCACCTGTACCCGGTTCAATTGGTCAAGAATGTAATGGGATGTCGCTTGAACCCACAAAAACGAACCAATCAAAATTATAAAATCTTTATACATTAGTAATATCTAAAATTTCATCTAACGAAGTATTAATTCAAACTTCAACTAAGTAACACATCATCTATAAATTCTAACATCGTATTATTTCATTTAACTATACAACAAATAAACTACTTATCCTCTTTTAATCGGTCTGATATAGCCATTATCTAAATATATCTCGTCCTTCAAAAATATAAACAAAGTGTAATTTTTAATAGAATTCGGCAGCATCTTGGTGGATCACACACTTCTAATACATTCTTGTAATCTATCTTATCACAACAACTTATTTTAATGGACCATTTCTCAAATAAATAACTATGGTATGATACCGTTCTCTTATGTCTAGTGGTCGCCAGTCCCTAAATTGTCACAAAGTCTATGGTATTTTAGTCGAATGTTTTACAAAATATCAATACTAAAAAACCTAACCTCCAAATGGCATAAATGTCAAAATGTAACAATTTTTTGCTTCTAAAAATAAATTACGAGTGAAGACGAACTTAATGTTATACTTTGATCTCGGGGAATAGGTTTTACTATTTACTAGTATAAATGGTATAAAACGCTCTACGAAAAATCTATAATATCCTTCACTTTTCCTGTTTTATCAGTACTATCAAGAACAGTTTGTCACTGAATGTAGTTCTATTATATTCAATTTTTTATACTTTATAAAGATAAAATTATGTGAAATAACGTAAACAATATAAAATCTATAAAAAATGTAAGAAATAAATAATTTACCCAATTTTAATGTAGACCACTACTATTACTAATAAATAAATAATTTACCCAATTTTAATATGCTAAAATCAAAAAATGAGGAAACATGAAAGAAAATAAAAGCTCTTTGTATATTCTCACGGAAATCTTAATCTCCTTCCGGAAGCCAGATGTATAAGGCAGCGCTATACGGTGCATTTTATCATAAAGTTTAAGTGTTACACTATAATTCTCGGTTGAAATTTTAATATAACCATCATAATACATACAAAAACTTAGTCCCTTAAAACAAATAAAAAGTTCATTTCCTTACGAGCGCTGATAAACTCAAATATTATAAGTTGCTTTTATCAAATAATTTGATAAAGCACAGTAGTAAGTGAAATGGTACGCCTTACACACTTATTATATTACATTCTTAAGAATTTTCAATGAAATAATCAGAAATAAGATAATGTTTCGAGGAACTAACATAATATAACGGTATCGAATAACACAATGTTTCATATATGCGAAGATTATGATTATGACGACAGTAAAGAAACTGTATTCCCATGGAATATTACATACCACGCTATTCGGGGTCGATTATTATAATATAAGGTTTGAAAACGAAAGATTCTACCAAATTTAATGTGACCTGCAGGAGGGCACAAGTGAAAAATCTCACGAAAAAAACTAGTGGGACGCATGGCATCGTGCCTTAATGCAAATTGCTGGAACTTCCGTACAAAAAAAAAATTTTTTTAAAAAACAATTAACACTTTTGAAAAAATTTTACTTCGAAAAATTAGATTTTTGAGAAAAACATAAATTCGACAAAAAATTACTTTTTTTTGAAAAAAAAAAAATGACAAAAATGTTTTCTTTATTTTGACATATTTTGGAAATTCTGAATTTTTTTTCAAAGCAATCGTACTGCTTTAACTGCATAGAGACGAAATGTCAAAGCGCGTAAGCGCCGCATCGCCATCAAACGGATAAACAATGGTACGGAACCCATAGGAGTGTAAATAAAATTTATACTTTTTGTTAAAATCTCTATAAAATATCTGGTAATTTGATGTGCTTATGTCTAATGATCACTTTTGACCGCCAAATGGCTTTTTTTTTACTTTTTTTATTAGATCTCCAAAACCGCTAAACCTGCCTTCATGAAAAATTGATCAGTTCTTCAGACCTGCCTTCATCTTGTCAATACAAGTAAAATGTTTTTTGAATTAATAAAATCGGACGCTCCGTTCTCTTAAAAAATGAGTTACCAATTTTAGCACTTTTTGCCCCGTATCTTCGGAACGGCTAGACTCCTTATCAATACGAATCGAATGTTTTTTGAATTATTCAAATCGGTTGATCCGTGTTCCCGAAATCGTCGACAAAAATTTTTATACGCACACACACACACACATACATCCATTTTTTCTAATGGTATGCTAAAATATTCAGAAACTTTTGAACCGTAAAGATATATAAAAATTTTCATTTTCGATTTTTTTGCGATTACTATAACTTACCCTACGGGAAGTTAATAAGTCCCATACTACCCACGTCATAAATTAGATGAATATATTAACACCACTTATTGTTAGAAAAACTAAAAACGATATTAAAATAAATCCAATACAATAGTAGAAAAGGATAGTAAACTAATATATTGAAGGTAGTTTTTATTTTTACAGTTAAACTGTAAATTTTATCATATTTTGCCGTCATATCATATTTTTTATTATTATATAAAAATAAATTTTACCCTAGAGGCAGTATCTTTATAACATTATTTTTTTAGCAGCAATCAGAACTCCACAAGCTATGGTGATGACTTTATAAACGACTTGGTTTTTTATACATAGCAACCCAAATGGTTGGCCTATCTCTATATAACAAATTTATAACAATTTGTTCGGGTAGTTTTAGTTGGAAACATATTGCAATCTATATTTTCAAGTAAAATCCTATGTCACTGATGGTGGTATACTGATTCGTATACCATAGCTTTAACTACTGGACCACGAGGGAGCTGAGAATGCAAAAGAACAAAAACTTAATGAGAAACAGAAAAATATCTAACCGTAAATAGGATTAATTTTAGCATTATAATTTATGATAAGATACAAAAATGTTTATGAATCAAATTTGACCAATCTTCCTCACAGGTTTACCCATAGGTTCCTCAGAACAGATAATTTTCGATAAAAAGGCAAACAATCTAAATATCAATGACGATGGCAATGGTATAAAAATTAAACAGTATATTCAAAATGTAGAAAAAACAGATGAGGATTTTGAATTTGTGTAGGCAGCTTTTTATCACTATTAAATTATATCTTTTTTTATATTCAATTTTATTCTGCAATCTGTATATATTATTACATCAAGCAGAGAATGCTGACAAGTATATAATAAAATAGTTGATTACAAATTAGTAAACACCCCCTCATGGCGTACCTACTAGAGTTAATTAAAATATTATTAGAAAAACTAAAAACAAAAGGAAAAAACAATTTAATATAGTAAAATGAAAGTATTATAGTTAATTAAACTATATTAGGCCTCCAGGTATTTACTTTTAAGCCTGGTCGGCTGGCCTTCCAGGTATACACGACATGCTAATTGGTTAGGATGAACGTCTATTCTGCTATATTAGAAATTATATTTAATATAATACTATGTTGGCAACTAAGTAAATGCGGCTTATAATCTTAGATGGTTTCAATTAAATTTTTAGTTTTGCTGACGTAGACCAGATGTAAAATACATTTTGTTATTGGATAGATAATTCAGCTGTCAATCAGTAAAAAAGATTTTTAATCGATTGCGTAGTTTTCGTTTGGTATTAGTTGAAAGATGAAAAATCTAATAAAAAAAATGCCAGATTTTGCTTTTTTATTTCTGCAAAGATAAAAAGGTATCTTATGCTCACAAAAATTTATGAGCTGTTTTTGGTGACAAAGCCTTAAAAAACTGCTGTGTCAAAATTGGCTTGCCAAATTTTGTTCTGGTGATTTTTTTACTTAAACATGAAAAAGTGGTCGACCAAACCAAACAAACAATCAACTCTGATGTCTTCATTGAACAACTAATGAAATTAAACAATGCACTTCAAGAAAAGCGGCCTGAAAGAACAAATAGAAGTGGTGATTTATTTCAATATAGGAATCATATAAATTTGGCCTCTTTGGCAAAAATTATTAGAGCTTGGTGGGAATGTCACATCCACCATATAGTCTTGATCTTATACCTTTTGGTTTGGATTACTTTTGGTTTGGATCTTTATAACTCATTGATTATGGTGAAATCAAAACCTGATTTGATTTTTGCCAATAAAAAGCAGAAGTTTTATGAAATGTGGGATGATGATGGTGGAGTCAAATTAAACCTGATTATGTTTTTACTTATAAAAAGCAGAAGTTTTATGAAAAGTGGGATGATGATGTTGCTTGAAAGATGACAAAAAGTCACTTACAATGACTTGAATGAATTACAAAAAGAGCAATACAATCCAAATCAAAGTTATTTACTCCCATGGATCTTGATAAAATACAAGAACACAAATATTTTTTTTTAATTTAATTTTTATCTGAAGAAACGAGGATTATAACAGAAAAAAAATTACAATATATATTATCAACAATTTTCCAAACGTCTATCTCATTAATCAATTACTGTCGTTATCCGAAACTGTCCGTGTTTTTTTACATTTATTTCGTGCAATTCGATTATGACAAAATATTTACCTATTCAAAAATACATCTTACATCATTCATTGTTAACTTAAACACGGCAAAAATATACAATGCGTACTATGCAATGAATTATTTTTTCAAATATGTAATTCGATAATAAATTCTAATTTAATTTCAATGAGATTTTCCATGTGTTCATATTAAATATAAATGATGAACGTCGGCAGATGTTGAAATAATTCAGAATTCGTTCGCGGAACGCTAAACACAGTTCCATATCGGCAATTATTACGGGCAAATAACAATTTACAAGATAATATTTGAACTATTAATAATGATCATATGAATACTCAACGACGTATTTCCTACATCAGTCGATCAGATTTCGTATCGTTCGTACGTGTCATATCTGTAGACAAAATATTGTGATCGTTAACACAGATTTGCGCAATTTTATCAAATGAGTTTAAAAAACTGAAGAAATATTAAAAAAATATAATAAGTATATTTTTTAACTTCCCGTACGGTAAGTTATTGTAATCGTCCCAAAATCGAAATTGAAAGATTTTGCATTTCTTCACGTTTTGAAGGCTTCAGAAAACATTTGAATGGTTCAGAAAACATTTGATTCCTTTTGATGGGGAGATTAGTTTTTGGCAAAGGCAGGTTCAGTCATTTCGGAGATACCGAGCAAAGAGTGCAGAAAATAGAAATCGCTTTTTGAGAGAATGGAGCATCCGATTTGAATGATCCAAAAACCATGTAGTGAAGTGCTGATTAGGTTTTAGCAAAGGCAGGTCCAGAAATGAATGATTTCTGAAAATGCATTAAGGTTAATTTATATTGTAGTCATAACGTACAGTTTATTCTATATTAGGTCTAAACCAAGTGATTAATTTAACTAGTGGGGTGCATAGTGACGAAATGATCGAGTATTGTTAAATGTTTTGACATAGATTATTATTAATATTGTAACAATGTCTAATATTTATAAGAATTATATAAACTGAATTGCAAAGTTGAAATTATTTGTTTAAATTATTTTAGAACAGAATTAAAATTGAAATCTGAAAAATTTTCGATATACAAAAAAAAAAATTCTTTAAAAAAAAATTTTTTTTGAAAAAAAATTTTGAAACAGTTTTTTTCCAAAAGCAATTATTTTGTTGAAACAAGCAGAAAGTTCTTTGAATAATTCAAATCGAACACTTAGTTCTCTCAAAAACTGCTATTTTTTGCACAATTAGCTCTGTATCTTCGCAATGGCTGGATCTGCCTTTGCTAAAAACTAATCACCTCTTCTCCCAATCATTACAAATTGAATGTTTTTTAGATCATTCAAATCGGGTACTCCGTTCTCTCAAGAACTCGATTTGTAATTTCTGCACTCTTTACTCCGTATCTCCGCAATGGCTGGACCTGCCTTCGCCAAAAACTAATCAGCACATCTCCCTATCAATAGGAGTCGTTTTTTGAACCATTCAAATATCGGTCGATCCGTGCGCCCGAAATATTTTTAAGACTTTTTGTGTTTAATTAAATATATTTTTACAAATATTGATGCCAAATCAATAATTTCTTGTACGAGTTAGTTTACAAAGTACATTGTGTTAATCTTTTATAAGCATTATATCTAAACTTATATCGTATTATATCAATCAATGATACATTTTTCAATATCAAATTATTAACAGTATAGTGAAATATATTAAGCGTGAGGTTTTTTTTGTTAAAAAGATGTGAATCGAATTTTGTCGAAATTTACAACTAGCTTTATAAAATCTATGTTAGAACAGCTAGGTTGTAAATTTTTAAATAGTATTTCATAAATAAGTTTACTCCTCTTTAACGTTAGATAAAATTATTGTCTTAATCTATCAGTGTTTACAAGTTTCTCATGAAATAAATTTAAATATGTATTTCATTATGTAATGTAGTTTATTACACTTAAAGGGTGTACATAGAACAATGAGTAAAGTTCCAATTACAGCTATGGGTCGATCAGGGTATAGTTTGGCATGGTGTTCTATTTATTTGCATTTTTATATTAAGTTAAGCAAGTCGTAAGATAAGAGAGAAACTTTACATGTTTTGTATATGTATTTGATTTGAATGCAATTTTTATCGGAAATTTAATAAAATGGTGTATTGTTGCATGTTGAAAATAACTAACATTATTTTTTATGATCTTATGTTACTATTGTAACTGCAATGCGTATAATTTTATTATTTTTTATTGGCTTCTTAATGACCAATACTTTTGTGTTGGCCGATATTTTAGCACTAAGAAAACCATGTTTATGCATTCCAAAATTATTTGCTTTTAAATTCACACACTTAAAATATGCCTCGCTCGACACGGTATAGGAAAACACTACCTACGTTTATACTTTTTTATATTTGTCAATTTTTTATGGTAATTAATCATTACATTTTCTCTGTAAGAGACACTTTCAAACAATATGAAAAATTGTCCTTTTTCATTTGAAGTTATTTTATTTCTTTATGTTTTATAAGAAAAAATCTTAATTAACTTCCCGTAGGGTAGTTATCGTAATGAGACGAAAATCGAAAATAAAATTTTTTACATTTCTCGACGTTTTGAAGGTTTCTGAATATTTTGGCATACCTCAGAAAAAATGGATGTGCGTGTGTATGTGTCTGTTTTAAATTTAATATGATATATAATTGAATCAATAATCGATTTCCTTAACAAATCTAGTCTAATCTACATGATTTGGGTTAATAGGGCTCAACGTTAGATAAGTAGTAATTTCAATGGACTGCAATTTGAAATCAATTCATTAAACTTTCATTTGTATTACAAACGCATTGTAGGTAATGGTGAATGCTAGAATACCCATTACATTAGTGAAATAGTTCACTGTAATTCCAGTAAATTGGTCGGACTATTCAGATTTGAAAAATATTATGCATAATATATAAGCCAGGTAATAACTAACGATGGTATCAATATTTTATGAACTATTAAAGAGGAAATGTGACACATTTTGCAGTAGCATTGCTTAGTGGTGAGAACGTGGTCTAGAAAACTACTGGTTCCGGGATTGATATCAAGCTGTAGTGATATCAGTTTTTCACGTGAGACTATATTTCTATAATATGATAAGTGAAAATTGCCTCTCAGCATAGAGCTCATTTGTATTTGATAAAATGATCTAAGAAAAATCTCGTTAAATAGATAATTAACTAGTGGGGTGGGTGGCATCGTGCCTTAAGGCAAATTGCTGGAACTTCCCGTACCGTAACGAAATGTTCGAGGAATACTGAATGTTTTCAAATAGATTATTATAAATATTGTCTAATATTTATAAGAATTATATAAACTGAATTGCAAAGTTGAAATTATTTGTTTCAACAAAAAACTAAAAAAAAAAAAAAAAAAAAAAATGGAACAAAATTTTTTTTTCCAAAATCAATTATTTTGTTAAGACAAGCAGAAAGTTTTTTGAATCATTCAAATCGGACGCTTAGTTCTCTCAAAAACTGCCATTTTTTTACATATTTAACTCCGTATCTTCGAAATGGCTGGGCCTGCCTTTGCCAAAAACTAATAAACACTTCTCCCAATCATTACTAATTGAATGTTTTTTAGATCATTCAAATCGGATACTTCGTTCTCTCAAAAATTCGATTTCTATTTTCCGCACTCTTTGCTCCGTATCTCCGAAACGACTGGACCTGCTTTTGCCAAAAACTAATCAGCTCTTTTCCCTATCAATAGGAATCGAATGTTTTTTGAACCATTCGAATCGGTTGATCCGTGCGCCCTAAAACGTGACTGGAAATTTGTATCCACACATACATACATACACACACACACACATACACACACACACACATCCATTTTTTCTGAGGTATGCCAAAATGTTCAGAAACCTTCAAAACGTCGAGAAATGTAAAAATTTTCAATTCCGATTTTCGGCCCATT